CTAACAAAGTGAATTCTTTCATTTTACTTCTATCATGATTTTCTTTGAACATTTAAGTGAATACATGGTTTTTGAAAAATGATATTCTAATTATACAGAAACTACCTGAAGTACTTTTAGTAAATACTATATGTAATAAAAGTTTGGTGAATTCAAGGTGTAAATTTTTTTCTGCTTCTCTTCAAGTCAGAATGATTGTTCCCAAAAGTATTAATAGAAAAGGTTAGAATTTTTTTTTTTCTTAAGTTCTATCTAACAATTTTTGGATTGAAATAGAGGATATGGTCAAGTTTTACTTATAAAGAAATATTTCTGATTGTGTATAATAAAAAAAAAAAAATACTACTAGAAATAATTTAATCTTTTATGAATATCTTATATCAGTTCCAATCCTGTTGGGAATGACTGCAATATATATATATATATATATATATATATATATGTGAGTGAGTGACCATACAAATGCATTCTGAGATTTATTCCTTGTCAATAAGATAGGCCACTTCTTGGTCTCATCCACCATTTTCTTCTTTTTTTTTTTTTTCCATCTTTAAGTCAAAACAATGTGATCACTTATCTGTATCTCTTGTGTGGTAACACTATTTCAAGTTTGTGAACTTTTTTCCTTATTACTGTTCCTTGGCCTACTTTTATCTTGCATATATTGTTCGCTTATTATTATTATTGCCCTGTTCTTTTCTTTCTCTTGTTATTGTTTATTGCAAACTTCATCAATTTCTTGAGTATTTCTGCCAATTACATTTAACCAAAGCCAATTATTCTACACCCTTACTATCTTTGTCCCATGTTTTTTTCTATCTCCCTCTCGTATGTGTGTTCCACACAATTCACCTATTTAAAAAAAAAAAAAAAAAAAAAAAAAGAAAATATTAACTCTGTTATTTTCCCAAAATAAGTAGGGACAAAAAATGTTTTACATTTCATAATCCGGTCTTTTGTCAACCGCTTATAATTCCTACACCCTTTACAGGTTACTCGATGATTTAACTGACGCCAAAAATTCTTTCAACATTAACAGTTGGGAGCAAAAGAAAAAAGAAAAGAAAAAAACATTTTATTCTTTCTGCATCACAATGGGGGGTGGGGAGATGAAATGGCTGTTTTTGATTGGGAGCCTGATTAAATTGCCACTTTTCCTTCAAATCAACCTTCAATATATTCCCCTAGATTTTATAATCATTAAAAAGACTTAAGACAGTGAAAAACAAAGGTGTGTGGAGTTTGGGGGGGGGATAGAAGCACCCACATTAAAAAAAAGATTCATATATTGCAACATATTTACATATCAAAATGTTAAATACAAAAATAAAACTGTCAATGTCTTTGGGGTTTTTTTGCAAGTCAAAATACTTTTTCAATACAACTAATTATACAATATATTTTACTCTAAGAAATAAAATGACTCCTCTCCAAAATGAGCAAACAATATCTCACTGCCATTAACCAAACCAATTTGGAAGTGACGCAGCTTGAGTGACAAATTGGTTTGGTTAATGGCATATCAACTCCTTAAGAGTCATTTAACACCAAAATTTTATTTTCCTGTGAGCTTTGATATTCCCCACCCACCCCCCAAAAAATGTATTACTGGTATTTTTTTTTTCCAACACTGTATTGCTAGTAATTTTTTTTTTTTTTTTTTTTTTAACTATGAAAATGTATTGCTGATAATTTTTTTTTTTCTAATGTATTTTTATATTTCCATGTTTTGACCCCAGTTTGGGGGTTTGCTACTTGCCCATAGATGGAACCCTAACAGGTGCTACAACCATGGGTCAGGGTGGACTTGGAAACAACAGCAATTATGAGGTGGCTCAACGTTCCTCAAAACCTCTCAATCAGAGAGCCTTGCTGCCAGATTTAGTCCTTCCAAATGTGGAAAAAAAACATGGATCTAATCTTGCCTACATCTCTACAATACATGAGGACAGCAAATTGAGGATATGCACTAAAGAGATCTTGGGTTTGTTTCTTTATGAGCTAAATGAAACTGTATTCGATCATTTTCATGACTGTCCACATTCTTTTTACTACTGAATTTTTCTTCAGTTTTTTGATGGTTCACTTCTCTAGATTTCTCCAGGGCAAAATTTACTTATATATAATCCAATCTATCATATCAGGGAACTGTAAAAATCATGTAGAGTCTTACTACTGTCCAGTTGTTTGTTTTTGAGTTGTGTCAATTTTACACCGGCTATTACTTGAAAAGATGTGGTCCGTCTGACAACTATTTTGAACACAGCAGCTTTGAGGCACGTAAATTGTTAACCAATCAAAGAGAAGCAAACTAAGCATTATTAACAGGCACTCTCCCACAAGGTCGTTCACTCACCAGAGAATAAGCTTGTATTCTGTGTGAGTTTTGAATTCACAATGAAATATCTATCAAGTTTGTCGAACCATTCGAAAGGCTTTCAAGAATGATCCAATAAGCAATGTACCAATAAAGTGTTGACACTGACAGTTCAAACTTATTCAGGAATTTGTTGAGAGAGATCCACATTGATAATGTGTGTGAGATGATCTACATTTGGCTCCCTTTTCTCCATCCAAAGTTAAACTTTGCTGTTAAAGGAGAAATTTCAGACTAGGGATGACATTAAGAATGCAAAGAAGCAGCTGATGGTAATCCCAGAGTGTTTTGAAAAGTGGAAAGGATAAGATTTGCAGAGAGTGTAATGGATATTGGTGCAAAAAATGAAATTGGCAAGCAGAGTTCAAATTGTGGGCTAGTCTGTTGTATTCACTTTTACACTAGTCATGATCATGAGTCTCATAACTAAGTATGTCCACTGTTTTCGCGGAAAAACAGCATAGCGTAAATGAAAAATGAAAACTTAAAGAAAATAAAGTATTATCGTCAAAATGCTTATGTTATTATTAAGATGAAAGAAAAAAGTATTTTTTAATTATTTTTTGAAATTTTTTAATATTTTCTAACACGTTCAAAATTTTGGTTAAAGTCGTCTTTGTTTACGTCATCGCAGTGACGTTTAAAATAGTTTTTTTTTGCGTTTTTTTCCCCCGTTGAAAACATATTGATTTGGAAATTCTTGTAAAAATAAAATAATTGTCCGATCTTAATGAAATTTTCAGGACTTATTTACAAATGAATGAAATTATTTTTGAAATATTTTGTTTTTACAAAATTTTGGTAAAAAATATTTTTTTTTTTAAATATGTTACCCCCCACTTAGTTAATTTCATGAAATTTCGCCCAAAACCTTTTTGGCTCCTCAATTTTATTTTTTTGTTAAAAGAAGGAGTCTTTGGAGATGGTAAATAACCTACTTTTTTTTTTTTCAAATTTGAGCTACTTAACTGAAAATCTTGTCTGAATTGAAAAATAATGAATCCAATAAAACTATGATATTACTTAATTAGAAAAGCTTTTAATTGCTTTTGTAAATAAGTAATATTAAGGACATTATTGTCTGAAGAAATAATTTTTTCTGATGAATAATTAATTTTACAAGAATTTTTTCGTTTTTAAGAAATTTTAATTATAATAATTTATAATAGTTTAACATCGTGTAAAGCTCTGTATTAGGAGGGCTCCTCAATATTATGTAGTAATTAAGTAGAAAAAAAAAATTCGAGTCCAAAATTGCTAAGTTTAATAAATTTAGTTAAGCTACTTTTTTTTTTAAAAATGATTTTTTTATGTTGTATTTTTTTTTACTTAATACATTCCTTATTTCCATGTATGATATACAGAAATTGCCATTATTATAACAAGGTCACGTGATCTAAGGGTTTTGTCCCTTTACGTGGCCTTTTCAAAACATTTTGTTTCTTAGAGGTTGTGTTTTCCGTTCAGCTTTAAAAGTGTAAACTTTAAATTTTAAATTATTTTTTATTTTTTTCATTTACTATTTCACTAAATAATTTTATTTTATGTATTGTATTTCCATTAGTGTGTGTCATACTCAAATAGAATAATTTTTTTAAAAACTCAGACTTAAAAATTATGTCATTTATGGTCATCAGTAGTAGCTGTCATCAGCTCCTCAATCAACCATCATCAATAGATCGAACAGATGAACAGGACCGCTCGTTAATAATTGGTTGTATATTATTTTTTTATGCTATAAGTAACAAAGATTTCTTTGAAATCAGATTACTTTAACTTTAAATTTTTTAATTTTACTAAAATAACATGTCAGAATTTTTTTTAAATATTTTAAAAATCAATAAATTTGTGTTTGTTTACAAATTTCTTAAAATTAATGGCCGTTTTTAAGAAAATTTAAAAATTTGAAATTAAATTTGACAATCAAATGTATATAGTTTCTATCTGAAATACACCAGAATTGTTTAATTAATAGAAATCGTAAATTTAATTATTAAACTTTCAATTAAAGCTAAAATGAAATCTTCAAGAATGTTTTTTTCGTTGTAAAAAATTCATTTTAAACTTCAATATAGAAAATTTATGCCGAAATAGTGGAGGTACTTACTCATAACTCATTAGAGTCAAAGAGCACCACATGTAATGCAGCTTCAGAAGTGGTGTGTCTTGGCTCAGGTTGGTTTGAATTCAGCGTTTTCCTTCTCCTAGACAGACTGCCACCTAAGTCTGTCCTGCTATTTACCTGTAGCTGAGGGGAGAAGAGATGGATTCATACCTTTCCCAAAGGTATTAGCACATAAGTGAATGTAATGAACTTAACTGGATTTCAAACTTGGCTGTCTGATTCCTAATTCTGAGCCATAATCTATTACACCACCTTTTACACTAGTGCCCTTAGGTAAAGAATTAATCAATTTCTTCCTAGTGGGATAGACTGGGCTGTCTAGCCTTGGATGATAACCAGTCTAAGAGAAGGAAAATCAGTCCACTATCTTTCAAAGAAAGGCATGACAATTCATGGGAAAGATTGTAGAGTGGTTTCCCGTTGTCTTTTCTATGGTTTGGAAAAGAGAGTTTTCCTTCTCATGTGATAATTCATAAATATTTTTTAAAAATATTAAGGCTTATAGCAGCATGCTGAAACACCAGTTCTCATACAATTGCCAAAGTTAAGCAACATCATGCCTGGTCAGTACCTAGATGAGTGACACTTGGGAATACCAGGTGTTGGAAGCTTGAATGTGTAGGTGGTATAATGAATAATTGTTCAAAATTTGAATTCAGAGAAATGGGAGAAGTATGAAGTATGAATCCACCTATTCTCTCCCCAACTATGGGGTAATTAGTAGGACTTGTAACATTAAATCATTAGCATCAAAATAAAATAATTTTTTTTTTAAATTCTTATAATCTAAAAATATTTTCTGATTTTAAAATATCTGCACATGGTCAACAAGCCATAAAAATCAAATCAACCCCAGAACATTAAAGATATCATTTGCTCATTTTGGAGAGGAGTCTGTTTATTATATAGAGAAAAATATATTCTGCAATTCCTTGTCTTGAAAAATTATTTAAAAAAAAAAAAAAAAACTGTTTTGTATTTAACATTTTGATATGTAAATAGGTTGTTTTTTTAATGCATCAAATAGATGTATTTTCAAGAAAATGGCAATTGATAAATATTAAAAAAAAGTATATATTTGTGGAGAGTCATGATTGTCTATGTCCTTACATAGTGTTTAAAAGCAAAAAAAAAAAAATGAAGCTCTAATAAAGGGTTCTGTTGCACTAATAGGTTACTTTTTCAAAGGAAACAGTTCAAGCTCTTAAATGAAAAAAAAAAATCAACTTTTACATTCCTTATTTTCACTACACTCTTTATTATCTTGCAATATTTTATGTTGTTTTTGTTTTTTCTTTATCTACAATATCTATCCTCTTTTTCTGGTTATTATCGAGTTATCAACTTTGAACTTTTGATGTATTTATATATTTAAAAACTCACATGAGAAAGCCTGATAAACATATAAGATTAATAAAATATGCTGTCATTCTTTTTATGACAAGAGTAAATATGTTTGCAATAACGAGTGATGCAGAACCTCAAAAATATTCCAGGTGTGTGTGTGTGTGTGTGTAACTTTCAACAATTGGCCTTGAATAAGATTTTAAATGTTAAGGCTTTAATCAATCCAGTTGATTGGTTCTTTCTTTTGATACACAATCTACCTTCTATGATAGCTGATTAACATGTCTTTAGTTTCTTGTTGAAAGCCCAAAATTGATGGTAGAACGGCTTCAGTCCAAGATTAACACTTGCACAATACATTAAACAGAACGTATTTATCAAAAGGCAATTGCCAGAGGGGAGATAAAGACAAACAGATTATTGGAGACAATTTTTCTTCATTTAACAACTAATGTCTGTTTTGCTTTTTCTTTTCTACCTGCCTTTTTTTTCATATTAGCATCTCTTTTTCTTTAATGGTAATATGAAATGTTGCTCAAGTAAGAGATCTTCAGGTGTTGATTGGCAATATACAGAAAGGGCAATGGGATCAGGAATTGTCCACTCTTTTGCAATTAAATAATAGCAAAAGTGTCATTAACTAGTTACTTTTTTTTTCTTTCTTTTAAACTTCTTTTTCACCAAAGACTGCCCTAAGGACATCAAATCTTACTCATTGTTGTAAAGTGTCTGACAGAACAATTCTTTACAAGTGTCACAACCTATTCTGTGTGTTCACATTTTAATAATGATAAAAAAAAATCTGTCATCAATCAAATCAATCTCTTCAGCCTTATAAATTCTTTGGCCTTTTAAAATGGTTCATTACAGCAGAATGCATGTCATGTCAAATAGAAATTACTATTTTAGTTTTCTAGTGAATTTGGTTTGCATGAAACCGCAAGAATTTGCCAGCCAGACTTGTTTATGGTTATAAACATTAACCGAAATTGCAATCTTTAATTCAAATGAAAACCCAATGAGTGAACTTCAAAAATAGCAGATGCAAATTAACTTTGTTTCTTCTTTTGTTTATTTCCTTTTGAGATCTTTTTACCTCAAGAAAATTCACAGAAAAATGAATTAAAATCATTTTTAGTTCAGTTTTTTTTTTCAGCAATATAAAAATAATTTTTAAACAGAGAAACTAAAATTTTTTCATTTTCAAATTTTTTTTTTTTTTTAGCAATCAAAATAAATCTGTAAGGTGTTTTCTTTCTTCTAAATTTCTTATATTGGATTAAAGAGTTATCAATCCTTAAAAGGTATCTTTAAAACTTGTAATCACCAAATTGTACATGTAAATTGAAAGGCAACAAGCATTGTAGCACAAAATTGTGCATCTTCATATTAGGCACATTTAAGTGATGTTTTCAGGGATAAAAAATATTCAATATTAATCAAATTAAGAAAAAACATTTTGCAAATTAGTAGCATCTAATCAATGACCTAAAAGTAAAAGTTTACAATTATTTATTGTTAAAATAATAAAAAAGAATCAAACACACACAAAAAAAAATGCTAAAATTGCACTTACACATCATGCAGTTACTGATAAACTCTCGACTATACCAAGAAGCCCTTCACATACATATATACATAAAAAAAAAAAAAAAAATCTAATATTTGGTCAACTGGTTAGATTATAGAAAGTGGATTGAGCTGAAGGCACTTCACCACCTCCCCATATGTATTTATTTGCTTTCCTTGTGACTGAATAAATTGTGGAATCAGTGGAAGCCCATTTCAATGTATCTTCTCTTTTGGCCACAATTAGCAAGTTTCACAACAAGCACCGGGTTTTACTTTGTTGGCAGAATCAATCACAGAAAGCAAGCAAGTGACAGGGTGGGGGGATTGTAGACTTAACAGCTGTAATTTGTAGTTTTAAAAAAAAAAAAAAAAAAAGTCAAGAGTGACTGAATAAGTTGAAAAGTTCAATGGAGAGAGATTAAGTTAACATAATTCAAAATCAAAATTGATTCTTCTAACCATCAACCTTTTTTTTTTCTCAGTTGTTGTACAACAATACTGCCAATTTCATAAATTATTGTTTCGTCACTGAAAACAAAAAAGAACAAAAAAAACAATGATAATAATGCCACAGAACTGTAATGTTTTAAATGAATAGGTATTTGTTTAAAAATTATAATTGCATAAAAGATAAACAAAAGCATCACAGATTTTGTAGAAAATTCCTGCTCTCTACTTCAACTTCTACAGCCAGGACATTTTCTTTTATCAATTTCATCCCCAAGCCACTAAGATACAAGTTGGGGTGGAAGTATTAGAAAACAAACATTACTATAGAGCAAGAACAAGAGTAATCAGGAGGACATTAGATAGCGATTGAAATTGCATTTAAATTTTTGAAGATTAAAGTTGAATGGAAAGCATGGAACGAGAATAAAGTTATAGAAGTGAGAGAAAAGGAACTGTTAGTATAGAACTTATGGTTACATCTAGCCAATTTAACTGGAAATTGATGAAATATTGATACCAGTCTAATACTGCTCTTAAATTCATAAAGTCTAAGGACCACAGTGAAGAGTTCATCCAAACAATTACCATGAAAATATTTATAGAAAAGGCACAGGGAGGTAAATTCATGGTGGTGGGAAAGAAACTGAAGCCAAGACACCTGATCAGGACCAATAATAGTGCTGATTCCTCTTTGGATTTTATGAAGAATCTCTAGATCAATAACAGGAGCACCGAACCATATGTGGCAGCAATATTCTAATCATGGGTGAATGGTAGTCTTATAGATATCCAAGACAGATTTTGGAGAGAAAAATTGTCTAGAATGACACAGCAAACCAACTTTATTACCAGCTGACCTAACAATGGATTCAATATAGCCTTTCCACTTCATGTCAGCTGAGAACATTAGGTCAGAAATGTGCAACGATTCACTATCTTAGAGGTTAGCATCAGCCATGCTGATGGAAAGCAGAAAGGTATCTCTCAGATGATTAATAGAGAGAGGTTTAATTTTGGAGGCATTAAAATTAACAAGTCATCCTTTGCCCGACACACTATTTAGATCATTCGAATATGACAGGTTTTTTCTGCTCTCAAAAAGTAGAGCCTTCCTCTGAAATGTTTCATAAGATCAAGTGGCATAAAGAAGAAAAAAAAAAGGCAATTAATGTTCAATGAAAAGGGGAAACTTGAGCATTTTCAGCCCCCATCTGTAATAACCTTCATGTTTTGACAACTGATAGTGTACTGATGATGAAAAATATTACTTTAATTTTCAAAGTACAAATAAGTTTCAGATTTGCATGATGTTTTCAGTTCCTCCAGAGACTGCAGAATAGAAATATGTGTGAGGTTAAGCAGTCAACCATAGTGTCATATTTCAATTCAGCTGCAACAGATGACAAACCTTGACCTTTGACATCCAGGCTGGCAGACATTGGTTATTTTGGGGGTCTGGGAATGTTAAAAACTTAAATTAATTGACACTGTTCCCTTACTTTACGCTATTTTAGACAGAGACAAAAACTTGTACTAATGAAGGTCATCAGCCAAAAGCAAGCTTTGGAAAGGAGGGAATGCCTGTATCTGAGTAGAAGTACCTTCTCAAATAAATGTAATCCTGAGGCTGAAATAGCACTTGAGAATTTTACAGGGAAAATATGTTACATTTAAATTTAATTAAGAATTAAAATTTAAAACGGTTATATTTGATTGTTGCACAGGGGGTAAATAAAAACAAAGTCAATAATAAAAAAAAAAAGGTAAATGTTTTTTGGGTTTTTTTTACTCATTAAATTGTAAAAATTTGAGCTATCACTAAAGACAAAGTCGACAAGCTGTATTTAGAGTTTCTCAAAACTGAACTAGATTAAACTAACTTCAAACTGGACTGATCCAAAGAACAACATAAAAAGAAATAAAATGCCTAAGATCAAAGTGTAGTATCAGTTCTCTCCTCATTTGAGATGAGAGAAGGTACCTGTTCCCAGAGATTCCAACCCTGTAGCAACCACTCTCTTATTGCACTAAGAGAGGTGGAGGCCGGTGCAATATCAACACCAGCATGATCATGGAGAAATGACAATTTTTGTCTTTGGCTCATATGCATAAGCAAGTGTATGGGCATTCCCTGTTAAAAAAAAGTTGATGTGTCACATCCTGCCTTAGTGCAGAGGTCAGGTAAAGACCAACATCATTTGCAACATTTTATCATTTAATTCAGCTATTAGTCAACTTAG